AGTCTCAAAGTCTCACTGGTTTTCTTTGGAGGTGGAATCACCAGACCAGCTTACTTCAGGACCCTTCAGGACACGACCAGCCAGTCTTCTTCACAGGGGCATCAAATACTACTTAGACTCAGTCTGGTGGAGACCAGGTTGGGGGGCCACGTCTTTCCTGCTGTGTTCCTAGCACACTGGGACTCCTCTGAGTAGCCTCAAGGGCAGCCAGAAGGACAAGAGAGAGGCTGGGTGGGTGAGACTCAGGGATCTTTACCCACTTCACCCAGAGCAGCAACAGGATTTTCTGTCTTCTCTGTTAGAGGTAGGCTGATGCTATATAGATTCTTCTCTGCACAACTCTAGGGGGACTCTTCACATCGAAATGAAAATATCAAAATATACTTGGGTTATGGTGAAAATTTTCCAACAGTAAAATAGTTTGAGGAAGGTAGTGTTTTTCTAATTTGCAGAGTTACCATTTTGATTACCAGCAGGGCTGATTGTGAAGAGTCCCTGTTTTTAAAATTTGAAAAGTACAAGCCGGGCATGGTGGCTCACACCTGTAATCCCAGCACCATGGAAGGCCGAGGTGGTGGATCACTTGAAGTCAGGAGTTTGAGACTGGCATGGCCAACATGGTTCCCTTGTCAATACTAAAAATACAAAAATTAGCTGAGCAGTAGTGGCACGTGCCTGCAATTGCCGCTGATCAGGAGGCTGAGGCATGAGAACCCTTGAGTCTGGGAGGCGGAGGTAGTGAGCCAAGATCACATTACTGCACTCCATCCTGGGTGACAGAGTGAGACTCAAAAAAAGGACCTTCAAAAAAAAATTTTTTTTTTTTTTTTGAAGAGTACAGCTACTGGGGAAGAGCATCAGACTTGAGCAAGACTGGATTTGAATTCTCTACACTCTCAGTATGCCTTTATATGGCAGGCAATTGTACTATACTCTCCCAATTCAAAATTCCCTCTTTCCTCAGAACGTACCCCTCTCCACACCTGTATTTGCCCAGAAGCCACCCCACTTGCCACTGTTGATGGAACTCAGGGTACACAAAAGGACCAGTATCTGACAAATTCTCCAGGAAATTTGGAAATGGGACTGAGGCAGGAAATTAGCTAGTTTGATGTCAGGCCTGTGGATGGCCATTTGCTATCTGAAGTAGAGAGAGAAAGAAGAGAGAAGCCAAGAGTCCTGAGATTGTCCAGTCCTTGTTCCAGGCCTTGTTCCGCGTGCCAGGCTCCTGTCTTTGGCTTCTTTCCTGCATCTTCAGAATTAAAGCCTTTGCTGCTTGTAAAGGAGTTTGAGATGGTTTCCACACACTAGCAACAAAGAGAATCTTGATTATTACACCGTGCACCATACAAAGTCACCACTTAATCTTCCATGGATCTCAACTTCCCAGTGTGTACAATGTAAATAACAACACCCCCTTATAGGCTCTTTGTGATTATCACGTAAAACGCCGGCGCCAGGTGTTTCTTTCGCTGTTCTGGAGAACTGACTCCCAAGCATCCTAGAGTAGAGGAAACCACAGGACCTAAGGCTCAGGGAGTAATTATAGGGATGCCACGACTTCTCTGCGGTGGAGTAGGAACGACCCACAAAAGCAACAAGCATAGCAACAATAAGGGCCTTTCGCTGCCTGGCCGGGAGAGTGAGGCTGAATAGGGAGGAGATGCCCGCAGGGCACACTGGCCCCTGCAAGGGATCTGGACACCCTGCTCTCAGACCTACGCTCTCGGGCCGGGTGTAGCTGACACGCTGGCTCCTGGCCAGCATGACCCATCCCGCCTTGGGTATGCTGCAGGGAAGGCCGCGCCTGGGTTGCACCCGCGACAGGAAACTTCCTGCTGAGCCCGCGCGGCTCCTGGCACCGACTCCGCCTCCGCGTTTGGGCGCGTTCTTCTTCCCTCCATCCCCAACGCTGGCTATAGCTTCTGCGATGCGTTCCACATTCTGGGATCGGTCTTATCCGCCCTGGGATGCTGCTGGGGACCGCCGGCTCGTGGCCGTGTCCACATGCTGGAGCTCCGCCTCGAGGTCGGCCAGAGCGCGCCAGGGCCACCGAGCGAGGTGGGACACACTCTCCAGGCCGCAGACGACCGACAGACCCTTTCAATCCCACATTGGTCAAACGTCCTACATTTTAAAAAGATGGAGTTTTTTCGGCCGGGCGCGGTGGCTTATTGTAATCCCAGCACTTTTGGAGGCCGAGGCGGGCGGATCACCTGAGGTTGGGAGTTCGAGACCACTCTGGCCAACATGTCGAAATCCCGTCTCTACTACAAATACAAAAATTAGCTGGGCGTGGTAGCGGGCGTCTGTAATCCCAGCTACTCGGGATGCTAAGGCAGAAGACTCGCTTGAACCCAGAAGACGGAGGTTGCAGTGATCCGTAGATGGCACCATTGCACTCCAGACCGGGTGACAAGAGTGAGACTCCGCCTCAAAAAAAAAAAAAAAAAAAAGGAGTTTTTAAGCATTGAAAAGAGGAGAAAACTGAAAACTGTTTATATGTGTGTGTATGTATATATGTGTGTATATATGTATATGTGTATACATACACATACATACCTCTCTCTCTATATATAAAATTTACACACACACATACACACACATATATCAAATATGTGTATCTGGCCAGGCATGGTGGCTCACGCCTGTAATCTCAGCACTTTGGGAGGCCAAGGTGGGAGGATCGCTTGAGCCCAGGAGGTCAGGGCTATAGTGAGCACTCCAGCAGCCTGGGCAACAGAGCTGCATCCTGTCTCTAAAAATAAAAAGTAAAAATAATAAAAAAAGAAAATATGTGTGCTTGTAATTTCCATTAGAAGTTACCTAACCTGGCCATTGGTGGTGACAGGAAATGCCCTTTCCAGGAAATTATTAACAATATTATTATAGCAATGGCTATAATTTTTAAAGCATTTATTGTGCCAAGTGTTGTCCCAAGGGAGTTACTTTATATGCATTTTTAAAACGTTATTCCTCACAGCAACTTTAGGATTTGATATTTTTGTCTTTGTTCTCTGTATAAGGAAACTGCAGTTCCCAGGGCTAAAGGAAATGGCCCAAGGTCACATTGTATATACAGTGTAGCAAATCCTGGACTCAAACCCAGGTTTCTGGACACCAAATTCTGAACTCTTCCCAGTCAGGCTGTCGGCCCCATTGCATGGGCTCTACCCCTCCTCCCTGAGGTCTGTGACCTCTGTAGACTAGTCTCATGTCACCTTTCACTTGGATATAGCAATAGCAGCCCCTCTCTATGAAAGCATATAAAGCACTACTCTCTACTTTTCCAACTCGGTCTGTTCTTCAAGGTGGAGGGAGGGAGTTTTCTAAAACATAAATCAGATCAAGGTGCTGCTCCAATTTCTTACCCTGGCTTTTAGCTTCCTGTTTGATGGGTGGGGAGGCCCTGCCACTCCAATCTTCATCCACCATGCTCATCCACACTGGCCTTTGATTCCTGAACACACCAAGTTTCCACCTTTGGATCTTTGCACTACTAGTTCTCTTCCGCAGGAATGCTCTTCTTCCAGTTTTCCCATGGCTAGCTCTTTGTCACTTGGCTTAAATGTCCCATTGTCAGAAGGCCTCCTCCACCATGCTCTCCGAGGAGCTAGTCGGTCGCTCTAGCACATTGTCCTAGCTAGTCTCTGCCTGACGCTTATCACCATCTGACATTTTTCTCTCTTTTTTTCATTTTCTGTCCCCTTTTACAGTGTAAGAGTCAAAAGCTGGAAGCGTTGCCTGTATCTTTCACCACAGTGCCTAGAATGGTACTTGGTACATGCTAGGCACTCAGTAATTATTTACTGGATGAATGATTATCCTGTCTTTTCTCCTTTTCTTAGAGAAAACGGTGTTCTTAAGACAGATACCCTCCAGACACGCCAACTAATCAGGTTTTCTTAACATTCCCCACGTTGCTCTTCCCCCTGTGGAATTCCAGCAGCCTGGAGCAGGCAGACCCCTCTCACCTCTGTAAGTGAGCAGCGCCTCATCGAGGAACTCAGCCGCCTTCCGGAAATGCTGGGAAATGTCCACCTCAGGAAAATCATCCACCTCCACACCCAGGTACTGGATCTCCAGGCCAGTGTAGAATTCGGGGCCAGTGTAAACGCCAGTGCCATGCGCAGCATTCAGAATGTGGGTGATTCCCAGCCTCTTCAGCCTCCCCTTGTTCACAGCCACACTCCTGGGGGAAGAGGCAGGGACCTGTTTGCCAGAGTCGGAACTAGAAAGGTGTGTCACCACTGCCATGGCGAGCCTGCCTCAGCCGGTCTGGGGCCGCAGCTGGGCAAGTACCTCCTTTTCTGCTCTGGTTGTCTGGGGATCACTGCAAATACCATTATAGAAAGAGTTGATGGCTTGGCCTCAGCAAAAGGGAGAAAAGACAGGGAGTTAGGCAAGGAAGGACGAGATGAAGAGGCCAACAAAGTGACGTGAAAGGAAACATTTGAATGATCCAGAAACTTGTAGTTTAAAACCTCATGCCTTGGGAATGGACATTCATCAAGGCACAAAAGTGGCAGGCACAAATAATAAAATTAAGTGTATTCTGCATTGATATGGCATGCTTATAACTGTCAAAATCCTTTCACATGCATTAGTTCATGTTATCCTAACAATAAATTTAAGAAGTAGACAGGGACACTAGTTTTATTCCCATTTGAAGATTATAAAACTCAGTCTGAGAGCTCTTATAACTTCCCAAGAGTGTGAAAGGAGTAAAAGACAACAAGAACTAGTGTTTTAGATTTCTAGTTCAGAGCGCTTTTTGCTGTAACTGTATAAGTGTAGCTTCGTTTGAAGAGGCCCTGAGGACAGGTTGTCCGAGAAGGACCAAAAGCTTTTAGCTAAGGATACCTGGTGATGGCTGGGTTCTTAGTGACCATGAGATGAATGCTCCTGGATCTGAAGATCTATCTAAAGATCACGTAGGACTTGGTGCCCAGCACTGAGGATCAAGTTCTAGGCAACGGATGACTCCTTGGTGAAGATGAGACCCACTGTCCAATGCTGTTTTCCCTATTCCCTCCCCTGAGGCCAAATTTCCTCCTTTGCTTCTGGATATCCAGATAATTACATTGGGAAAACATCTCATTAAGTATTTGATGAATCAGCAAAATATTTGTTTCACTAATTAACCTGGTGGTAGCAATTATGCACTGGCATCCTAAAGAAATAGGATGTGACTGAGTTGTTTTTGTTCTGGAAGCCTCTGATAAACTTTTAGAAAATAATAGTTTTTGGATTATAAAAACAATGTCTACTTTAGGAAACCTGTACAAGTCAAAGGAAATCTAAAGAGAAAATAAAAACCACTTGTAAAAACACCTCCCAGAGAGAAACATTGTTCTCATTTTCTCACATTTCCTTCTAACTGTTGTCTGTACAAAAACATGCACGCACATACACACACATCTATTGCTCAATTAGCAGCACACTTACTTACATGTCTTCTCTTGTAATCTAATTCTTTCTTACTGTATTGTGAACGTTTTCCTATGTTGGTAATTACATATGCATGTCAATATTATTATCAATGGCTCCTAGTGTCCGGTTCTGTGGTAGCTACAGATGTCATGAGATGGTGAAGTTGGCAAGACTCTGTGGCAGGAAAGGAGGCCCAGAGAAGGCCTTCTTGAGGGACAAGAGAGTCCTGGCAAGAGGGCAAAGGATAAGCAGTCATGGCGGCATCTTGCCTGGAGACCTCTGAATGCAGGTGACTGAAGGGGCCTTTCTCTGGACTGGGGCAGGGTAAGTGGCTAGGCAGCCTCATTGTGCTGGATGGACCTATGGGTGCCTTTGGTGAAAGTTGGGGGAGTTTCGTCTGTCTCAGGCACTAACCAGAGGGGTAGGACAAAGGGTCATGAAGAGCAGTCAGACTCACTTCTCAGCTATGAAGACATTGGGCCAGACCTCATCCACCTCATTCCAGGGAGCCTCTTGGCGATCCTGAACCAGAGCCCGCTGTAGGTCCAGGACGCAGGGCGTATTATAGAGGCTGGTGTCGTCCATCTTCTCCCTGACGCGGTTGTACAGGTCCTCCACCAGCAGCTGTTCAGCAGACTCCAGCATGCCTGGACACTCTGCGTCTGCTCTGACCCCCCGGGGCTTGAGTTCTAGAGGAGACAGGCAGCATTCTCATCAGAGAGTTAGGAATATCATGGCCTTCCTTGTTCCTGGGGGGAATATGCTCTTGGCCAGTTCGCTGTCAAGATTTTGGCCGTGAACTAAATGCCAGCAGGATCTCCCAGGAAGGATTTTAATTGGGCCCAGGGTACCTGCTGCACTGGCCCAGACACTTGTAATCAGGGTCAGCAAGAGGACTGTATAGATGTGGGTAAAGGGGATCCAATTTCTTTTACTCCCTCCCATGCTTCTCGGAAGCTGGTCAATAATTTTTTAGCCCAAGTTCCTTAAGTACTAGGTGTACTTTGATTCGTACTTAATAATTCCCACAGTGCCCAGTACAAAGTGGATGCTCAGAAGTATTTACCGGCCAGGCGCAGTGGCTCACGTCTGTAACCCCAGCACTTTGGGAGGCTGAGGTGGGCGGATGGCCTGAGGTCAGGAGTTCAAGACCAACCTGGCCAACATGGTGAAACATTGTCTCTATAAAAAATACAAAATTAGCCAAGCGTGGTGGTGAGCACCTGTAATCCCAGCTACTTGGGAGGCTGAGGCAGGAGAATCACTTGAACCTGGGAAGTGAAGGTTGCAGTGAGCTGAGAGCGTGCCATTGCATTCCAGCCTGGTCAAAAAGAATGAACGACTCTGTCTCAAAAAAAAAAAAAAAAAAAAAAAAAAAAGAAAAAAGGTAGGAGTATTTACCAAATGAGTGAATGGCGTTCATTCATAGTATAATTCACTCTGTTAGTTTGACTCTTTTACATATGGATTGCAAATAACCCTGGGAAAAGTAAAACTTTCAGCAGTGATTTATGCAATATTACCTTCTAATATACGTCTAATTTACTGATTTATTTCTTGTATTGTCTCCTTCCCCCTACTAGAATGTAAGGACCTATGATTCTCAGCCTCCCAGCCCACAGATAGGTGGCAAAGATTGGCCATGAGCTCTCATTCTAATCTCAAAACGTGACTCAGGGCCTTTCTGACAACAGGTCCGAAAAGTTCAAACTCCAAATGAACTCAAATCCCAACTCACTCACATCTGGGGTGAATCTTTATCTTCTTCTAATAATATATTTGCTCACAGTTTATCAAATTTAGGGAAATGTAAGATGTTTTCTTTCTTTAAATTAGACAAAAATAAGAAAAACAAAATCGTTCCTCTCATGTGGTAGCCAAATATACTGAACAGAGAGAGAGAGAGAAAAAAGAAGCTGGAAAGATGTGTCCTCTGTGTTCCCCATAGCCTCTTGCTGGCACCATCTGTTTCCCTGATGGGCAGTCTCTGGGTGGGGGCTGCAGAGAGAGTCCAGCCACATTTGGAAGGTAGACTTGGCCCAGCCCCTCATGGAATCTGCTCCTCCCAGGAGTCTGTAAGCAGGGCTTGCTGCTCATGGACTGCAAATCCTGGGAGCCTTGGGTTCTGCCTGGGGCTCAGGATTTCATTTCCCTCCTCTCTTCCCTCCTCTAACCCCCCTGAGGGGCCCCCACGTCCCTACATCAGGGCTCAGCTCTAAACGTTCTCTGATCTTCATTTCAAACGCAGAAAGAAGAAAACTCCTGCAATCCCAGAGCTCTATTTTGTTTAAAAATAGATGAAGTGTTCCTATTTTCTCCACCATGCAGTTTTCTCCCCTGGCTCTCCTGGGGTCTTTCATAGCAAATGCAGCCCCCTCTCCTTCCGTTGTCTACTTAGATGTCTTTCCCTTACTACATATAAAAAATGGGACTCCTGACACCTCATTAAAATACACAGTATTGTCTTCCTCGGCTATTTATCTAGCAGGTGTTGTTTCCATTTCTTTTCTTTTCAATTTAAAAACAAATGTCCCAGCCCTTCACCCCTGATGGCAACTCCTGCTTTCCCTAGGTCTCTGGTTCACACTTCAGCCTCTGTAGAGTTTGCCTCCCTCCCTGCATCAATTTCTTTCTATTACCTGACATTTCTTCAGCAGAGAGTAAAGCCCACACATTTCTCCCCTACACTCTCGGATGTGTGGCATATGCAGACTTTCATGAAAGCGGAAGGTTTTCAACACACATTTTTACCCCTGTGATCACTAGTGAGCATGGCGGTGTTTTGAAATATCACCTGATACATTTTCCTTTCTCTCTAATATATTGTTTTTTCTCCCCCTACAGCCCTTCAGCCACTAAGGCTAATGAAACTTAGATTTGATGCCCCCAGAGAAGGGAAGAATAAAGAGCCAGGATAAAAAAAGGCATTGCACATCTTTTGGTTTCAAACTAGACTGAATGTCCATAGCATTCTATAGACTTGAAAGTGAAGCTTTCAAAGAGAGAAAAAGTTTTTTATTTTTTTTCTCCCCACAATTCCTAAAGCTGGACTTTTACTTATCAAGAACCAAAGCCTGGAAAATGATCCATAGAATGAAGCACAAAGCAGAGATGATGCAGAATGGAAGGTTAGGGAAACTTCCAACCACAAAAGAGGAAGAAAAGACTTTCCAGAGCTACGGTGGCACGAGGAGCAATTCAGAGAGAACTGGACCAGGGTGAAGACACTGCCTGGGTTTGGGGGCAAGATATCTTGGAGCAAGATAACAGAGACCCTAGGTATGGAAGAAAAAGAAAAAAAAAATCCCCCGAAGCAGATGAGTCTTTGAGAAGATGGGGCCTCCTAGAATGGCCAGAACGGTCAGCAACAGCAAGTCAAATTTCTGGTTCTATGTGAAGTGTGCAAGAGGTCCAGATGTCCTCTAGAGATCCTGGTGGAGACCCAAATGGGTCAGGGGACAAAGAAGGGACCAGAGTAAGAATGGACAAAGCGTAGCATGTGATTCTCATAATGAAAGACCAAGGAAAGGATTGTGGCCACCAGCGGTGGTTGCAAGATTAAGTCCAAAGGCCAGCTGGGCCTTGCTTCATCAGTGTGCACCTTATCCCACTCCACCCCATCTCACCAGAGTTGTGAGGCTACCCAGGGAGAAGGGAGAAGAAAGGGGAAGAAAGAAATTGCAAAAGATTATTTACCTGAAATTGATTAGAAAAAAAATCCATCTAATCTAGATAAGTATCTTTGAATGAAATACAATAATATGTTGTCTGCTTCAAAATTTTACTGTGTAAATATTAACATATTTAATATTGGGTGCTCCCCACCCAAGCTTTTCCCTCCTTCCCATGCACCCTTCAGTTTGAAGCATCTTTAAGCACTGGTGGAAGTGCAGGTCTAAGTCTGGGCTCCCTTGGAAGAGAACCCTCTGGATGCTTCTGGCCGTTTCTTGGGCTCTTAGGTCTGTGCCTCTGCCATAAGCCACCTCAGGACCCCTGACGTAACCAAAAATTGAGCAGGAGGCCCTAGGAACAGATTGGTGCTGACTCTCTGGTTGTCCCTGTTCATGCTGATGCATAATTATTTCCACTTCCTTCCTATCAAAGTTGAGGAGGTGGAGTTGGCAGAACTACCTTCTGCAGATCTGCTCTTCCTAACGTAATGGGCAGCACCTGAGAGGCACATTGACATCTTCCAATGGCCCCCCTCTAAGGGTCTCCAGATGACCACTGGACTTTGCTTCTACCCAGCTTTTGATTGCATTACCTTCATTGATGATCTGTTTGGCTGCAATGGCTGAGGAGAGGTGAATGGGTTCCATGAAAATGCTTTCAGTTTCTGCATCTGAGACCATCGAACACCTAAGGGAAGAGGATATTCATGTGAGATAAGCCTGCAGCATCTGAATTAAAGGCATTCTTTTAGATGAGAAACCTGGTTCTGATTTTAGCAACAAGTAGGAAACAACGAATGATCAAGGCAAAGCCTTCCTAAGTTTAAGGACCCAAGAATACAGAACATTGGGCCTCCTGTGACTCAGATGCCCACCTGTTTTCAGATCACAGTTGGCACTGATGCTGTGTGATGTTTAATGACATGGTGGTCTATGTTGGGAAGGCAAGAGTGTATGTCTGTGCTTGGGGGAGCCCACCCTGATGTGGCTTCCCTTTCTTGGATGTCCTGCTGCTCATTTAAAAAATTTTGTCTCTTTTTCCTCTGCTATCAATCTATAGGATGTCCTTAATTGTGCCTTTGCCAGTCTTCTGCTGGACTGCTGGACTGAATAGGTTGCCACCACTCTTTCTGTTCCCTCTGTTCTCCATTCCTTCTCCAAGTTTGTAAGGGAATGGGCTAATGATGAAGGACTGGCATACCACCAAGTGAAATGCCAAAGATGAACTCAAATGCACAGGTACTGATTCTGAGCACATGAAATCAAGAGTCAGGCTGAGCCCAGGGATGCAAAGAAAGTAACTTGGGCAAATGTCAAAGCAATTTCCCAAAAATAATTCAGTGCAGTTGTCAAAAAGAGACCTTTAGGAACGTGGAGAGTCTAGAGCAGAGACAAGACTTGGGACTGCACTATGGTGGTGGGGATGGGACCACACCGTAGTTCACTAGTAAATGCCTTTCTAGTGAGTTGTCCTGTTTTCGAGGTGTTCAGATGAGCTTTGGATCATTTTCTTTTGTCTGCTTAGTCTTTCCTTTAGGTCTAGAGAGGGAGGATTTAATGGATACCATTTGTGAGTGTGTTCTATGAATTTAATTCTGACAAACCCTCCACAAATGAGGTATTATTTTTATTCCTGCATTACCGATGAGAAAACTGTGGCTCAGAAAGATTAAGAAAATTGTCCAAGGCAGTAAGTAAATGGCAGGGCTAAGTTGAGAACATAGGGCAGTCCTGCTGTAGGTCCAGTGTTCTCTACACAATACACAGATACCATTTAGATTAGAACAGGGAGGTGGGTTGGTTAGTGGAAGCAAACCCAGCTGGATTCCCAGACTCAATGCAGACTTTGACAGGTAAGAAATGCTTATTGGAAGCCTAGATGCATGGATGAATTACGCTGAGTAAAGTTGAGTTGAGCAGAATCTAGATGAGCTGAACAAAGCTGACTTGAGCTGAGACAAGTTGAGATTGAATTAAGTTGAATTGATTAGCAGAACAATTCTCTCGTGCATCCACAACATGAGTCCACCCTAGGGAGAATGGTGTGCTCAGCGTCAGCAAGGCCAATGCTCTTGCCAGGAGAAAGAAGTAGCCTGGGACTCCACCTAGGACATGGCCAGAACTGCCTATGCCACCTCAAGGACAGCATGATGTGGCATCATCATCCATAGTATCTGAGAGTTTTCTGATAGCAGTTGTGCCGGCTCATACCTATTCCAGCACCAAGTACTCCTGTGACCAAAAATGCATTTTCAAATATGCATGACTGGGGAGTGGGAGTGGATTAAGGGTGAGCTTTGTTCACTAGAGGCTGCATGGGCAGGTCTGGCCATATCCTGAGTAGATTCACAGGCTAATCCTTTCTCCTGGCAAAGTTATTTCCTTCTCCATGGCCTGGTTGACACTGGGCACAGCATTCTCCTGAAATTGGACAACAATTTGTGGATGGTTATTACAAAATAATTGTTCTGCTAATCAACTCATTTTTTTATATTTCAATAGGTTTTTGGGGAACAGGTGGTGTCTGGTTACATGGACATGTTCTTTAGTGGTGATTTCTGAGAGTTTGGTGCACCCATCACCAGAGCAGTGTACACTGTATCCAATGTGTAATTTTCTATCCCTCACCCCCTCCCATCCTTCCCCCCAAGTCCCCAAAGTCCTTTGTATCATTCTTATGCCTTTGCCTCCTCAAACCTTAGTCCCTACTTATAAGTGAAAACATACAATGTTTGGTTTTCCATTCCTGAATTACTTCACTTACAATAATGGCCTCCAATTCTATCCAGGTTGCTGCAAATGCCATTATTTTAGACCATTTTTTGGCTATTATTTCATAGCATATATATGTGTGTGTGTGTGTATATATATATGTGTGTATATGTGTATGTATGTATGTGTGTGTATGTGTGTGTATATATATGCACCACATGTTCTTTATCCACTTGTTGATTGATGGGCATTTGGGCTGGTTCCATGTTTTCACAAGCGAATTGTGCTGCTATAAACGTACGCATATAAACAAGTCTTTTTCACATAATGACTTCTTTTCCTCTGGGTATATAGTCAGGAGTGGGATTGCTACCAAATGGCAGATCTACTTTAGTTCTTAAGGAACCTCCCTACTGTTTTCAATAGTGGTTGTACTAGTTTACATTCCCACAAGCAGTGTAAAGTGTTCCCTTTATACCACATCCATGCTAACATCTACTATCTTTTGATTTTTAAATTATGGCCATTCTTGTTGGAGTCAGGTAGTATCATGTTGTGGTTTGATTTGCATTTCCCCGATAATTAGTGATGTTGAGCATTTTTAAATATGTTTGTTGTTAACCATAGTGTATCTTCTTTTGAGAATTGTCTATTCATGTCCTTAACCCACTTTTTGACGGAATTGTTTTTTTTTTTTTTTTCCTTGCTGATTTGTTTGAGTTCCTTGTAAAATCTGGATTTTAGCCCTTCATTGGATGCATGGTTTGCAAAGATTTTCTCCCACTCTGTGGGTTGTCTGTTTACTCTGCTGATTATTTCTTTTGCTGTGCAGAAGCTTTTTAGTTTAATTAAGTCCCATTTATTTATCTTTGTTTTTGTTGCATTTGCTTTTGGGTTATTGGTCATGAAGTCTTTGCCTAAGCCAATGCCTAGAAGGGTTTTTCTGATGTAATCTTCTAGAATTTTTATGGTTTCAGGTCTTAGATTTAAGTCGTTGATCCATCTTGAATTAATTTTTGTATAAGGTGAGAGATGAGGATCCAGTTTCATTCTTCTACATGTAGCTTACCAACTATCCCAGCACCATTTGTTGAGTATGGTGTCCTTTCCCCACTTTATGTTTTTGTTTGCTGTGTTGAAGGTCAGTTGGCTATAAGTATTTGACTTTATTTCTGGGTTCTCTATTCTGTTCCACTGGTCTATGTGCCTATTTTTATACCAGTACCATGCTGTTTTGGTGACTATAGTCTTACAATATAGTTTGAAGTCAGGTAATGTGATGCCTCCAGATTTGTTCTTTTTGCTTAGTCTTGCTCTGGCTGTGTAGGCTCTTTTTTGGTTCCATATTAATTTTAGAAATTTTTTGTCCAGTTCTGTGAGGAATGATGATGGTATTTTAATGGGAATTTCACTGAATTTGTAGATTGGTTTTGGCAGTATGCTCATTTTTCACAATATTGATTCTACCCATTCATGCGCATGGGATGTGTTTCCATTGGTTTGTGTCATCTATGATTTCTTTCAACAGTGTTTTGTAACTTTCCTCGTAGAGGTCTTTCACCTTCTTGGTTAGGCATCTTCCTAAGCATTTTTTTTTGGCAGCTATTTTAAAAAGGTTTGAATTCTTGATTTGATTCTCAGCTTGTTCACTGTTGGCGTATAGCAGTGCTACTGATTTGTGTACATTGATTTTGTATCCTGAAACTTTACCGAATTCATTTATCAGATGTAGGAGCTTTTTGGATGAGTCTTTAGGTTTTTCTAGGTATATGAGGATATCATCAGTGAACAGTGACAGTTTGACTTCTTCGTTACAGATTTGCATTCCCTTATTTCTTTCTCTTGTCTGATTGCTCTGACTGGGACTTCCAGTACTATGTTGAATGGAAGAGGTGAAAGTGGGCATCTTTGTCTTGTTCCAGTTCTCAGGGGGGATGCTTTCAACTTTTCCTTGCTTAGTATAATGTTGGCTGTGGGTTTGTCATAGATGACTTTTATTACCTTAAGGTATGTCCCTTCTATGCCAATTTTCTGAGGGTTTTAAGCATAAAGCAATGCTGAATTTTGTTAAATGCTTTTTCTGCATTTATTGAGATGATCATGTGATTTTTGTTTTTAATTCTGTTTATGTGGTGTATCACATTTATTGACTTGCAGATGTTAAACCATCCCTGCATCCCTGGTATAAAAGCCACTTGATCATGGTGGATTATCTTTTTAATATGCTGTTGGATTCAGCTGGATAGTATTTTGTTGAAGATTTTTGCCTCTATGTTCATCAGGGATGTTGGTCTGTAGTTTTCTTTTTTTGTTATGTCCTTTCCTGGTTTCGATATTAGAGTGATACTGGCTTCACAGAATGATATAGGGAGGATTCCCTCTATCTTTTGGGATACTTTCAATAAGATTAGTACCAATTCTTCTTTGAATGTTTGATAGAAGTTAGCTGTGAACCCATTTGGGCCTGGACTTTTTATGTGTGTATGTGCAATGTTTTTATTACCAATTTAATCTCGCTGCTTGTTATTGGTCTGTTTCAGAGTTTCTATCTCTTCCTAGTTTAATCTAGGAGGGCTTTGTATTTCCAGGAATTTATCCATCTCCTCTAGGTTTTCTAGTTTATACATGTAAAGGTGTTCATAGTAGCCTTGAACAATCTTTTGTATTTCTGTGGTATTGGTTGTAATATCTCCTGTTTCATTCTAATTGAGTTTATTTGGCCCTTCTCTCTTCTTTTCTTGGTTAATCTCACTAATGATCTATCAATTTTGGTTTATCTTTTCAAATAACCAGTTTTTTGTTTCATTTATGTTTTGTATTTTTGTTTGTTGGTTGGTTTCAATTTCATTTAGTTCTGCTCTGGTCTTTGTTATTTCTTTTCTTCTGCTGGGTTTGGATTTGGTTTGTCTTGTTTCTCTAGTTCCTTAAGGTGTGACCTTTGATTGTCTATTTGTACTCATTCAGACTTTTTGATGA